AACTCCTGGGATTCATAAGCCCACTGGTTTGGTTGCTGGATCTGTTGCCCCATTCTTTGAAGCAGTCTTCGAAGCAGTCCTCGATGACCAATTATCAGTTTTGGTCTCATGCCTTGCACTGAATCCATGCTTTCTTTCAAGCTGGTTGTCTACTCTGTAATAATTGGGTGGCCTAGTTTCATACAGAGGCCTCTTTCCTTTTGATTGCATCTTGGTGTCTGGCGGGGCTACCAAGGATGAATGCTGTCTAGGGCCAGTTGGGTATGGCCTCTTGTTATGGGTGCTGGTTATTTGGTCCCTCTATACCTCTTTATGATGCTGTTTTCCATCAATTTGGAGCCCTTTCAGCCACTTGTAACACATCTTGCACCTGGAACACATCCTCTACACTATAGCAGCTTTGAGAGAGTCATCATCCAGCATCTTTTCACTAGAGCCTTCTTTTAGGCCTGCAGAGCTTTGTCCATCAGCTGGTGAACTTCTTGTGTTCTTCTTGAAAGCAGCCTGGCTAGCTACATGCATCTGCACAGTAACTTCCTCAAATTCTTTCAAGGATAGGTTTTGGAAATCTAGCCTGCCAACATTGGCTGCAGCCTCCCCAATCTCTGGAAACGGGTTGATGTCAATTTCCATAGCTTTCTCAGACTTGGCTGGAAACTTTAGCCTCCCCTTCCGAATCTGTTCTTGGATCTTATCTCGGAAAACAATACAATTTTTACTTGAATGAAACCAAGAATTGTGCCATTTACAATACAGTTTTCCTTTAAGTTCTTCAAGGGTAGGAATCTTGACTCCCTTTGGTAACTTTAGGAAATTTGCTATAAGCAAATGATCAAAAATATCATATGCTTTTGTTAAGTCAAAAGAATACCTTCTATACAGGACTTTCTTTTTAAACTGCTGGTCTATTATGCTGTCTTTTTGAATTAATGTCTCACAAGTCATAAGTTCTTTTCCTGCTATATCTGCTTCATCAATTTCATAATTAGGGTCCTTATAGTAGGCCTTATATGATGCATTACTTCATTCTTATTTTTTCTCGAGTAAAGTTTCATATCTAGACACCTTATAGGTTAACTCTACTAAGTCTCGAAACTCAGTTGAATCAAACTTCTTTCGAAGCCTAAATTTCAAGCCATTTTGAACCAATCTTACAAATTCAAGCTCTAGTAGCATGACCTTGCATTTGTTTCGTGCCCTTTTAAATCTGGCAATAAACTGAGCAGCCTTCTCATCAGGCCTTTGGCTCAATTTTGCCAAGTTTACCATAGAAACTTCATGTTTTGTTTAGAAAAATTGGGCATGAAAAACTTCGTCCATTTGCTACCAAATTTGGATAGAGCCAGATGTAAGGTTTATGTACCATATAAAGGCTACTCCAGTTAAAGAGTTTGGAAAGAGTCTTAGTTTCATGTAATCGTCATTGGCGAACTCACCACACTGGCCTGTAAACCTAGCAATGTGTTCCACCGTTGACTAATTCTCATTCCCATAAAAATAGCAAAGTATGGTATTCTAAACCCCCTAGGATACTCATGTGCCCTATCCATCCACTCTGGATAAGGTTTTCTGTACACTGGTGTTTGGACCCCTCGAGCCATAGGTTCACACATTTCTCTAATTATATCAGTAATTTGGTTCCTTGGAACCATATTTTGTGCTAGTTGAACCACTATTGGAGGAACAAACACAGGGTTTGGAGGAACTCCATGTACTTGAGGGCCTCTTGGTCCATATATGGGTACATTCAACGCTGGTTGTCCTTGTTACATTGGTTGCTATTGGAGGTATGGTTGACCTTTTAGAATTTGTCCTAGGAAAGGTCCTACGAAAGATGCTACAAGAGGAAGAACAAGTGTTATTTTTCTTCCAGCCGCAGGAAATCCCTCCAACCCCCTGGGTGTAAATTCAAACACAGGATTAATGAAGCCCCGTGTGCCAGGTATGGCTTCAAACATAGGATTTGGAAACATCTTTATACCATTCCCTTGTGCTGGACCAGATCCACAAATTTATATGGTTTTGCTAGTGGGTAATGGTACATTTTGGTTTGCTAGTGGTCTCGAAGGAGCTTCATACCATGAATGAGGCACAATTGGTGACCTTTCATGACTATGATTGCTAGTCTGACCATTGGTGTGTCCATTATTTTGCATAGGCTGTTTGTCTCAAGCCAATCTATACTGAAGGGAATTCATATTTTCTTTAGCTTGTCGTGCGATCATTGGTTAATAGGAGTTTACTCGATCCAAAAAGGGTGTTGCCCATCTTTCCATTGTGTACATTAATTATTGCCCCATAACATCTACTAAACCTCCCCATGGATTTATTGGGTGGGTAGAAGGGACATTCGAAGGTCCAGTCTCATAGCCCTGTCCAGTGTGTTGGACATGTGTTGTATACTCTGAAAGTGTTGGTCTGTTCGACCATTTGTGGAGGGTCTGATGGGACAGGTGCATCCATTACATTCTCCTATGGGTTAGGTATTTCTACCTCTCATTCCACACCCTCTTCCAGGCATTCATTTTCTCCCCTTACTCTACGTCTAGCCATTTTTAATATGTCCCACTAGGCGTGCCAAAAATATATGTTGGCTTTTTTAGCTTTCGAATGTTAATTATGTAATTTTAAGCGTGCCAGTAAGGATCAATCAGTCCTTACAGAATTTTAATTGCCAACCAATTATCAGACGATTGTGTTGAAGTTTTTTCAGCCTCAATGGATAGGACTTTTACTAGTGGCTTGTTTGAGGAAATTTTTTATAAGAAATAACAAGTGCAAAACAATTTAGAAACTAAATTTTATTGAGTGAATAAGAACTTACAATGAAATGATCCAGTCTTGAAAAGATTTACAGAAACGACTACTTGAGAACTACTCTTAGGAAATAAATTGCAGTATATGAATTGAAATGATGAAAATGTAAAGAATGGAAATATAAAACTGGAAAGAAAATATGAAGTAAATAACTGGTTTCTGGATCTGAATCTCGGGGTCTTCAATTTGGGACCTTCCATACTATTTATACTCTTTAAGGGTAATCGTCGAAGTGGGCTTCCAACCGTTAAAATGTCCTCCCATGATTGCTGATCATGCTCTCTCACAGTCAGTCCCACTACGCCATTCTTACAGTTAGGCCTCCCTTTTGGATTTGAATTTGAATTCATGAGTAACCGTTGTACCACGTCATCTTGTGCCTTCTAGCTATTCCAGTGCTTCGTAGATTCATTATAATCAATATGATCTGTCTTGTATTAACTCCATAAATTGTCTCTCATGTACCACGTGTGAAGCTACAATAAACTTTTACAAAATATATAACCAACAAAACCGTTAATGTAATTCACTCAAAAATATATTAACTCAAACCGGTTAATTTTGTCTACGGGCCGAGTAGTGTAAAAAATTCCAAGTGTGCAATGGCAATGCTGCTATTTGTCTTACAAACAAGCACAATTTTGGATAATTGAAAATAATTTATATATATATATATATATATTTTAATCATTTTCCTGGAACGTAGAAGGTCAAAGCCAAGAAGCCAGACAGCAATGCAGCAGAAAGAAAAAATACAAAATAAGAAAAATAAACCTATAAAATAATAATAATTTGGTAAAACAGAGATTCCTCCAAACAAACTTTAGAGTTCATGTTGACTGTATTATTGTTGTTGTATATAGACTAATCCTTACTTATTGTTTTGTTAATTTTCATTAAAACTTGTGTGAATCTAATCTAAATGAAATAGTTCGTTGGAAATGAGACAAAAATTTATTGGATTACTTATCGTGTTGAAATGTAATACTGTGATGAGACTAGACAAAATGTTTAAAATGTTATAAATATTTCTCAGGTTGAGAATAAAAATAATATTAAAATTATAATTGATTTTTTAATAAACATGTTATTCATATTAATTTTGTATTATGTATATTTAATACTAATCTAACTTATTTAATATCCATGTATTCATATTCATATAAAAATATATTAACTAAAAGTGGTTAATTTCGCGTACGATCTGTCGCGAGTAGTGTAAAAAATTCAGAGTGTGCAATGGCAATGTTGTTATTTGGGTTGGTTTGAGAGGGAAGGTGATTTTTTAACTTTTTATGAGAGAAAAAATGTAATTATTATAGATTAAATATGATATTTTATTTTATTAAATTAAAAAATTTATTTTATCTTTTTAGAACTTAAATATTTTCAAATCCAACCCAACTCATCTTCCCAAACAAAGGTTTGTCTTACAAACAATCACTATTTTGGATAATTGAATATAATAAATTTTTTTGGGATAAATTATAAATACAATCGCTGAGGTCTGCTTAAAATATAAATTGTCTTTTGTGATTTAAAAAATTACAAATAGTTCAATGTCAGAATTTTTTATTTAACAGAATTAATTAAAAATGTGAAATTTATAACTGTTCACCTATACAATAATAAAATTATCTAAATTTTTAATTGAAATAAAATTTAACATTATTAAATATCATTAATTAACTTGATGATTTATTAATAAAATGACTCATTTGTTATGAAATTAAAAACTTTAAAGAACATAATGTCATTTCTAAAATTATAAGAGATAATTTGTAATTGAAGTAAATTTTCCAAAGTGTGTTTGGAATTTATCTTTTTTTTTTTTTTTTTTAATCATTTTCCTGGAAGGTAGAAGGTCAAAGCCAGGAAGCCGGACGGACAGCAATGCAGAAGAAAGAAAAAAAATACAAAATAAGAAAAATAAAACTATAAAGTATGGCAATGCTGGTATTTGTCTTACAAACAAGCACTATTTTGGGTAATTGAATATAATAATTTTTATTTTTTATTTTTAATCATTTTCCTGGAAGGTAGAAGGTCAAAGCCAGGAAGCCGGACGGACAGCAATGCAGAAGAAAAAAAAAAATACAAAATAAGAAAAAATAAAACTATAAAGTAATAGTAATTTGGTAAAACAGAGATTCCTCCAAAGTTGCAGAGATCGCAAAATAAAACTATAAAGTAATAGTAATTTGGTAAAACAGAGATTCCTCCAAAGTTGCAGAGATCGCCCAAGAAAGCAAATGATAGGCTGATTTTGATATAGCTTGAAAATCTCCGAAATAGCATTTGTCGTGAGATATATTTCCCAAAAGGGTCAGTTTCTTCTTACTTGTTCTATCTTTACCTAATCACTATTGTGTAAGTACATGTAATTACTTGTATAAAATACACACACACACATAGATATTCAGCTACTTCATCGAATTCTCTCTGTTCATCTTCAGCTCCTTTGATCTTTCCCATTGAATCTCATAAACCCATTTCTGTTTATAGACTTTACTTTCTGGGTTTTGTCCTATTGAATCTCCTCTGTCCTTTTTGTGACTACCCTCCAAGAAATTGGGATTGGGTAGGTCTGAAATTGTTGATTTGATTCTTATTGGATCATATTGAAATGGTTTGATCATGCTATATTGTTGTTCCTTGCGATTCTTTTCAGTGTGCAAGTTTTGAGAAATTCTCAAAATTTAGCCCTATATTGCAGAATTGGGAAATTCCCAATGTCTCATTGATCAGGCATGAATTTTGGATAGGAAGAAGTGTCTTGTGTTCAATTTAATTGGGTAGGTTTTAGATTCTGGTTTCAGGGTTTCTGTTGTGTGCTATCTAATATTAGTAGTATTATTTGTGGTGTTAGCGGCTCTTATATGCTATGGTAGACTGTAAATCTGCAATTCCAATGTTGGAAGGGGAAGAAAATCTGATTGCTGATGCCCAGCGCATCGTTAAGGCATTGGAGACGAAGAAGAATTTTACAGATGATGAGCGGAAAATCTTGGCAGATCTTGGTACCCGATTGTCCTCCATGACTAAAATTAGTGAAAACAAGGATGAGATGTGGTTAAGTGAGATTGAGGAAAGGCTAAATGTTGTTCAGGATAAGATCATGCATTGGGAGATAGATCAATCTCTGATATGGGACTGTGGCTCTGAAGAAGCTTACGGGTATGTGAAGGCGGTGGATGAAACCCGAAAGTTGATTGAAAGATTAGAAAGTTTGTGTTTGAGTAGAGATAGTGACGAGAATGGGATATTGAGAAGGGCTCATGATGTTCTTCAGACGGCAATGGTAAGGCTGGATGAAGAGTTCAGGCACATGCTTGTTCAGAATAGGCAGCCCTTTGAGCCCGAGCACGTGTCTTTTCGTTCAAGTGAAGAAGATGTTGTGGATGAGAACTCATTTGTCTCTTTTGGGGATGACTCGGTTGAGGATGTACTTCAGAGGGATAGTATCAGCAGAGGCTCAGAGGAATTCATCATTGATTTGGTCCATCAAGCTGTGATTCCTGACCTCAAATGCATTGCAAATTTGATGTTTGATTCGAATTATGATCGTGAATGCATGCAGGCCTATATTAGTGTCAGGAAAGATGCATTGGATGACTGTCTCTTCATACTTGAAGTGGAGAAACTGAGCATTGAGGATGTGATGAAGATGGAGTGGGGTTCGTTGAATTCCAAAATCAGAAGATGGATACGGGCTATGAAGATCTTTGTGCGCGTCTATCTTGCTAGTGAGAAATGGTTATGTGACCAAATCTTTGGTGATCTCGATTCAATTAGTTCAATTTGCTTTGCTGAGGCATCAAGGGCTTCAATGTTGCAACTTTTGAATTTTGGGGAAGCCATAGCTGTTGGTCCTCACCAACCAGAAAAGTTGTTTCGTGTTCTTGACATGTATGAGGTTTTGGCGGATCTTGGTCCTGACATAGATGCTTTATACACTAATGACATCGGTTCTTCTGTCAGAACCGAGTGCCAAGATGTCCTAAGGAGATTGGGTGATTGTGTGAAGGCGACATTTCTTGAATTTGAGCATGCTGTTGCATCAAACATATCAACAAATGCTTTTGCTGGTGGTGGAATCCACCATCTTACTAGGTATGTCTTGAATTACATGAAGACTCTCACAGATTACAGTGCGTCCCTCAATTTACTCCTTAAGGACCCTAAAATTGAAGACACAGTTTCATCTTCACCCGACTTGAATCCAGTTAACGAGGAGGACGACGCGAGTGGAAGCACTTCAAACTGTGTCTCACCAATGTCTCTTCACTTCCGATCCCTCATTTCAATTCTAGAATGCAACCTTGATGATAAATCCAAGCTATACAAGGATGATTCTCTTCGTCACCTTTTTTTGATGAATAATATACATTACATGGCTCAAAAGGTCAAGAGTTGTGAGCTAAGAAATACTTTGGGGGATGAGTGGATTCGCAAGCAAAATTGGAAATTCCAACAACACGCAATGAATTATGAGAGAGCGACATGGAGTTCAATCCTGTCTTTGCTAAGGGAAGAGGGAATTTACAATTCCGGTTCAAATTCCATATCAAAGACTCTGCTGAAGGAGAGGCTTCAAAGCTTTTATGTTTCTTTTGAAGAGGTTTACAAAAGCCAAACTGGATGGTTAATCCCAGATGGACAGCTTAGAGAAGATCTGCGAATTTCGACATCCCTCAAGGTGATTCAAGCTTATCGGACGTTTGTTGGAAGATACACCAATTATCTTAGTGACAAGCTCATCAAGTATAGTGCTGATGATCTAGAGAATTACATCTTGGATCTCTTTGAGGGATCTCCAAGATCATTACACAATTTCCACAGGAAGTAAGTGAAAGAGAGAGGGAGATTGATTTATCTTATGAGATGATTGTATGGTTTGTAACATAATGAGTCTAAGAGAGTTGTGATATCTCTTGTATTGTGTTTCTTGTGGCTATGGAAATTGATGTTATTAGCAGACATTATAAATTGTTTGAATTTTGTAATTGGCTTTTGTTGCATCTGTTTGCCTATTATCATGTTTCATTGTAAATTGTTTGAATTTTGTAGTTGGCTTGTGTTGCATCTGTTTGCCTATTATCATGTTTTCTTCTTCTTTCTCTCTTTTTATTTTGTTTATTATTTTTTTTTTAAAAACACAAATTCAAGATTTAAGGGTTAATAGTGGGAAGGAGATTGGTAGTTGTCTTTTGGCAGCCAAAATAGACTCAAACTAACTGTTGTAGGTCCAGAGAGACAAGTTGTCTTACCTACTGGCAGAGATATTTTTTTGTTTTACTAGTTGAAAGCTGCCCCTATCATCAAGATTTTGTGGCTGAGAAGACTTCCAACTCTATGATCCCACACCCCACAGGTCAACTTGTGGATTTATTCTCGTTCATAAATCTGGACCAAAAAACTCAATTTCAAGGGAGAGCCCCTGGCTGCTTGCTAGTTCTTGTTGTATTCATATCTTAGTATATATTATGCGTCATTTCCGGAATTATGGTTTTGACATTAGAGTGAATTCTTGTTATAGATAGTTCTGAGAAAGAAACATACTCTTTATATTTTTTAGTGAAACCTTCATCCATGAACATAGGTTTATAACAAAACCATATATACTTTCAAACTATGCATGTCTTTATGTTCTTACTTGATTATCTTTCTCATTTTCGTTTGTTTCGTCATAACAGTTCATCTAAGAGACTAGAATTTTTTGTTAGTGAGAGAAGAAAATAAATAAATAAAAATTCACGGTGTGATGTGGGTGATGAAGATGGCTGACTAATGATTTGATGATAAATGGCTGGTGGCATTAAATTCTTTGTGAGGGACCCATCAATTGAATAGGCCGGCATCTAACATGCTCCAATTGAATACAACATTTTGTTATTAGCATAGATTTGTCCAAAACACGACATCAAAAAACAATTGCTTTTCATAATCATAACAAAAATATTAGTAATTGACAACTTACGAGTGTGTAAGCGTGACTTGTTACTATGCGAATAATTTTCTCGACGCCAAAATAATATTAGAAAAACATGACATTTGGGGAGCAAGGCCATGTTCCATTTTCAAAGCATTTATTATTATTAATTAACAAATGTGAGTCTCTATGACATTCTATCATCAAGATTCAAGACCAACCCACATTCTAGAAACCCAAAGGGTCCAACTATTTTTTTTCAGATTGATGGAGGCCCAAACTCACCACACTTGAACACACCAAAATTTGGGAGGAATTTTTTAGGTTGACTGGTAAAAGATTTAAAAGGAAAGAAAAAGATTAACTTAAAAATCCAGAGACTGTACACTTTTATAGTATAAATCAAAAAATACAGATTCAAATCAAACATAGTTCAAAGGAGAGAATTGATGCTCTGGTATTGAGTTTAAGTAATTAATGGTATGACCCCGTATTACGAAGCTGGAATAGCTCAGTTGGCTAGAGCGTGTGGCTGTTAACCACAAGGTCGGAGGTTCGAGCCCTCCTTCTAGCGTCTTTTCCTTTTTGTTTTCCCAAGATTACTGAGTAACCAAACAAGCTGAAAAGAAAAAAATTTATATTTAGAAGTCACCATACCTATCTAAAAAAAGAAGTCACCATAGATTTCTGAGTAACCAAACAAGCAGGAGAAAACTTTTTATATTTTGAAGTGACCATAGATTTCTTTTTTTGAAAATATAAGAACTTGATTAACAATAATAAAACCCATGTGAATTATAATCACACAAATGAAATAAAAAAGGGAGTGCAGTATATATAGTGCCAAGTTGCCAACAATGCAATGTAAAGCATAGTTCTAACTGCATAATAACTTATCTTATGATAAGGAAATTCAAAACCTATTTAAATCGGTGACACCGGTTGCGAAAGCACTCACAATTCTCAGCTCCATCTCCATGCTTGCTGATCCACTTCTTGTACAGCTTATAATTTATCCTGCACATTTTAGGGTTGGTCTCCAATTCATGTGAAATTTAAATTTACTCATGCAAACTAGCAAAACCTGCAGCAGTTGCTTTCCTACGCGTATTTTCCTCCCACTCGCTATGTACACTACAAGAAATGTTGCTTTTGGCTCCCAAAATATTGGTCGCCAAAAGTCCAAAATTTGGTCGCCGAAACCATTTAGCGACCAAAATTTTTTGTCGCTAAGCTCGTCGCCTTTACCCTGTCGGCGATAGCATTGGCGACTAAAATTTGTTTGGTCGCCGAAAGTGTACACATTTGGCTACTAATCTTAGTTTAGTCGGCAAAATGTATGTTTCTGCCACTAAAGTATTAGTCGCCGAATGTGACTTTTGGCTACTAACATTCATTTGGTCGGCGAATGTGTTACTTTTTGCTACGAAAGAATTAGTCACCGAAAGTTAACATTTGGCTACGAATCCATACTTAGTCGGCAATAGTGACATTTCGGCTACTAATTTTTTAGTCACTAAAAGTTCTACATGAAAATTTTAACCAACTATTCCTAACTTTTTGCTACCAAATGTTTTAGTCGCCAAATGTTTTTGCTACTAAATTATTAGTAGCCAAAAAATTCCAACTATGTATTTGGCTACCAAAATATTTGGTGGCCAAATATTTTTTGTTTTTTTTTTTTTTTATTTTCCAAAAAAATTCTAAACAACCTACATCCATGTTTAATACAACCTGTACGTACATAACCCAGGATTCAATATAACCCATCAACGCTAAATATATTATCAAGCATTCAACAACGTGCACACATTCTAGTTCCAACCATCCAAAACATTAAAAATAAACGTCCAATACTATATATAATACAAATTCCATACGAACCAAGTCTAATCCAACGTCAATAATTTCATTTCATACATAATACAAGACTAACCAAATTAATTTCCAAAAAGGACATATGTACCACAACATGTCCTAACTTAAACTTGTTTGTCAGAATCTGTCTTTTACATACATATTTTAAGCAGATTATATGAAGGCTTATAAATACTAGACTAGGCACAAGTGCAAAAAAATAGTGAATGTTTCGATTTCTCTCAGCATTATCAAACCAAAGAATCTTTCTGAATCATGGCAGCGCAGCCATCATTGTCCGTTTTGCAGCCTCACGCTTTATCTCTGCTGCTTTGCCACTGCCACGGAAGTACATGTAAACATCCTGCATAATATAAATAAAATGAAAAACTAATAAGATTAATACCAAGTGAAGCTAGTTCCACTAAATAAAAATGGACATTTGCACTCCCCAGTTTGGTATCCACTAAATTAGCCTATCTCTATGCATAAAAATAGTAAACAGGTTCAACATCCACTAAATTAGTCTTATAAAGTCAACTTACCCCAGTTTGAGGGGTTTAATGAATGAAGAGCATTACAACAACAACAACCCACAAAAATCATAAATAAAAATGGAGATTTATATATAGGTGGGTGAAGAGGAAAAAAATAACTAACATATGAGAAACAAGCGACATTTGCACTCCCATAATATTCAAGCTGGTAACGATGAACATAGTAAAGGCCAGAAATATTCTATTTAGAAGGCAAACAATTTAGCATTTGCAGTTTGCTTCCTAAGGTAAGATAGAATCACATTAAAAGCATTGAACAAGCTTCAAGAAATTTTGTAATTGAAACCAAGTGTATTTGGATTTACGTCACATTGGCACTGATAATGATGTAAATGAAAGCTAACTCTCATGCTTGTAGTTTTGTCTCCTTTTTGACTTCACTGGCAATATGGACACCAACCCAACCTCACCTCTTGTTTTGTATAGTTAAAAATGATAATATATATATATATATATATACTAGCGTATGCCCGTGCCTAAAGCCACGATGTAAATAATATTAAGATTAAAATACAGTGGTAATTTATTTTGATGATATAATTTGTGGATTAAATTTTATAATAACTAATCATCCTTAAATTTTAAAAATTTGTAATTACATCAAGTGATATCAAGGACAACAGTGATATCAAAATGTTTTGTAACTAATTATATCAAGTGATTATATCAAGTGATATCAAAATTTGTAACTAATCAAGTGATTATATCAAGTGATATCTTTCTTGTTATTTCATATTTCTTCTTTATTTCTTCAAATACCAAAACAAAAAATATTTTTAGTATTACTTCTTTAAATAAGCATGCACACAAATGAGCACGTACTTCCGATCATCATCTTTGGACTCTAGTTCTTTAATCCACATGCTCTTACAAAAATTTTATCCTGGCTCTCTCTTACAAAAATTTAGTGGTTTTCCACATTTAGTTGTTATGATTTAGGCGGCAGTTTTTTTTTCTTGGAGCAACAACTGCTGTTCAATAATAATTTAAGGATGAATAATAATTTAAGGATGATTGCCTCAAGTTTGGTTTATGAGACTGGAGATACTTTTTTCATGATTATTTTGGTTAAATCACATTATCAATAACATGTATGGTGTTGCTGAAGGTGATGCATTATTTCCCATTTTTGATATAACAGAAGGTACAAAAACTACACCTACCAAATTAGAGGCAGAAATTGTGTGCTTTTACAAATGACTACACCATGATTTATAGTAGCAGAAGCAAAACAATTCCAAACCAATATGAAAGACTCATATAATTTTGATGCTCATATAATTTTGCTAAAATCAGATTTGATAACAAATGTCAATGAACAGCCACTGCAAACTACAAAACCATACGAGAATGTAAACAACAAATCCAAAAACAACGGAAATCAAAACAAACAAAAATGACAACCGAAATCAAAACAAACAAAAATCGTACCTTGCCAAGCGTCGGTAGCAAAGAGGCCCACAAACCCAATAATCTCCCAATCCAAATCTTACAAACCGACACTGCTCTAAACACATAAAAGTGACAAACCAACAAATGAGAGAACATGACATACACAATATTCAACGATCAATAAAAACATTCAAAATTACAAACCTTACAAACCCACACTGCTCTTTTTTTTTTTATATATATGCAAAAGATAAACCCATGTTGGAAGTAAAATTACCCATGTTGGAAGAATAAAAAACCA